AAAAAATGATGTATTCATTTGCATGACAAACCCGATTTTATCAATGTTGTTTCGAAGAATTCAATCGAAAAAACAATTGTCATATAAAAGAATATCTGATTCATTACTTTTCTCAAAAATAGATAAGGACCTACCATTTTAAAGAAGGCAACTATTTCATCTCTTATTTACGTGTTTAACATCGTCAAAAGTGTAGAATTTGATTTAAAAAAAAAAACATTTTATTATTCCATGATGAAAAAATCAACAATAAAAACCTTTATGAATTTTGTTCTTGTTAAAAACTCTCGAAGTTTGTTGTTGAACGAATAGTTTGGTAGAAAAATCTTTGATAGAGTAATGATTTATGCATTCATGATTTTATTGATCTAGATAAATCTCAAACTGATAGAAATCTATCAGATTCAGTTCGATCACACAATACTCAATCCAGTTCAAAGTCAAAACGATCTGTTATACAACATCTTTATTCAGAAAGTTCAGCTGAAACATTAGAACAATTTCTTCGTATTGATAGTCTGAAAGTTGATCAACCTAGTGAAGATTTTAAAAATATAATTAAAATACTTGCTACGGAATCCAACTGCAGATCGGAAAATAAAACAAGTTATAAATTTGATGATGTGTTAAAAATCTTTAATTCAAGTATAACATTTACAGGAGATCAAAGGCGCGATGATTTCGAACATTTATTTCGTGGTAATCGACCTGATTTTACATGGGTAATTGAAGATAATTTTTATCCATGGAAAGTTGTTTCAATAATTGAAAAGAAGAAGAATATTACCATCACACCAGCTGATATATCTCAAATGTTGGAATATTTAAGATTAATTGTTCGAGTTTCTCCTAAACGACAATATGCAGTTGGATGTTTAACGAATTATAAACGAATAATTTTTGGTAAAGCATCAATAATTAATGATAAATTTACGTACGAAAGATTTCGTTCCATAAATCTAGTTGAAGACTTTTGGAAGTTTCTTCGTTGCAATTCAATTGATTTAGGACACGTGAAATTTTCTGTTCCAGATTTTTTCAAAATTGAATCATTATTAGGTAAGTATTACTTGAAATAAGAGTTTATTTTATATAAGATTTATTTTGATAAAACTAATAAAAATTTAGAAAGAAATATTGATTTAGCTTCGATCATGTCGTTATGTGTATTAGATTGTAATTTATATAGTATCTCTAGAAGAACTCGTTATCACATGATATTCCGAATGAAATTAAATGAAAGAAAAATGATTTTAGAGTCAAACATAGAGTCGGAAAATTGTTCGAGATAAACAAAACTGTTGAGTAGTTTTTGGAAATAGTTTGCAGAAAAATTAATTATTTTCTTTTTGTTTTATCTTCCGAATAAATCTAATTGAATGTTCGATGTACTTTTACTTTATACTTTGTTTAAAACGATACCTTCAATAGATAAAGAAAAAAGAAACATAAGAAGATTCATCGATATGTCCTATTGATTAAGCATTCGATGATTGTTTTGTTGAATTGATGAGGTCAATATTTTCCCAACAGATAGATCTTATTTCGATTAGAATTACTTTTAAACTTTAGGCTAAATGAATTTTTTCTTGTCGCAATATTGATTTTTCAAATGAACTCTGTTTATGTCGCTTATCTAAAGGAAATTAATCGTTTCTAAAAATATGTTGTTTCTCGATTAGAATATTCATTTTATGATGAAAAATTTCAGGATTTTCTGATCGACATCAGATCTATATAGAAGAAGAAAAACTGAAATCGAAAATTGACTAAAACGATGAAAAAGACTTGACGAAAAGGTCTTGGAGACAAATTTTCTCAAGAGTCGTGTTAGTGTTGTAGAGATCTACTTGCATTTATAATAAATAATTGAACAGTAGACTAAATTTGTTTATCAGTTAAAAAGAATTTTGATTTTCGTCTTGTCGACAATTTTTTGAAAATCTTGTTTTTTGACGAGCAATATCATGTTTTAAATCTATCCAACTTTTATTCGTTTGTTTGTAGGTGGTGGTACAAATAGTATGGTTTATCAAATTGCATATAATAATAATAAATATGCGATGAAAATTTCAAATAAAATGTCAAAGAAAGAATTTGATATAGCTCAAGAAATGGAAGCTTATATTAAAGAATATAAGCTAAGTGTTGAAATTATTAAGATGGATATTAAAGAAGATTTTGTTTTGTCACAACCAGTTGGAAAAATGATAAAAAATGATGATATATGTAAAAAAGAGTATATTATTCAAATTTTAAATCAATTGGTCATTGGTCAAAAAGTTAGACGAGTTCATCGAGATATTCGAATTAATAATATAATATTGTATGATAATTCGTATGCTTATTTAATTGATTGGGATTCATCAACATCCAATGGTTTTAAAGGTGAATATGAAGGTGCATTTATAACCGCATCAACACCTGTACTCCGCCAATATTCATCATCAAAGGGTAAAGAAGTTTCAGCTTATTATGCTGATGATTGGATGTCGATTATATATATGATATTATTATCTCGTTGTCGAAAAGAAGATCAAGTCTTGTTAAAGTCTCTAGCTAGTAACAGTATGGCTCAAGACTTAATCATTGATCGTCAAGAAATTTTAACAAATGAAGCAATTTTACCAAGTCAAGGAAATTTAGAAGATTATAAACAAGAAGTTATCAATCGTCTAATTGAAATAGAAAGTGAACGAGAAAATTTAAGAGATATCAATGTTTTACATACACGATGTATGAAAATAATTGAAGCAATGGATAAACTTGGTTTGATTTCATAAACTTGTTTTTTTTTTAATTCGATTCATTTTCTTCATGTTTACTTGTTCTTCTATAAATTTCTCTTTATTTTTTGTGTTGATATAAGAAATTCTATTTGAACTTTTATAGAAAATATTTTGCACTTAAACATCTTTTTCAAGTTTAGTTTTATGGCACCAATGGAATATAATTCGATGAGATCTATTCTGTTTTATAAAAAAAAATTGTTCTTTTAGAAAAGAAATTAGGTAAAAGTTGGAAAATATCTCGATCTTGAACAACATTTGATAAGATGAGTTTGAAGAACAAAAAGAAATCCATAAAACAATGAAAACCCTTTATGTAATACATTAAGATAGTCATGTTTAAGGCAAACAAACATAACGAAAGAGATTGAAGATAAACAGAAACAAGACATAAATATGTTTTCAAATATCTTTATGACTAATGCATTTTTTAATAACGAAATGAATCAATTAAGATAAAATTTGAAGAATAGATTTTGTTTAATGTCTATAAAGGACTGCAGATTGAAAATAAAATCGACGAAAAAAATAGTTAATGAGACTGAATTCGAATCGTATGAAGAAAAACGATATACGTTACCGAAAAGAAAAGCTTGTTAATCTATGATGTTATCTTATAATAAATCTCTTGAATCTCTAATTTACTAGATATGTGAGATAAATCGATAATAAAAACTACCTTAGCATGTTAATTAATTCTATCCAACCGCAATGAAAATAATACAATTGAATTATATTAACAACAAGAAATGCACTAGGTGTAAGTTACTTAACAGGTAAAACATCTGATGGAACAACTTCAAGCTCAATAGATGAAAGTCTAAAAAGAATAAAAAAAAATACTTTCCTTTTCTTTTCTTTTTTTCTATTATAAAAACTTACAATTCTTTACTAAATCTTGTTGATAAAAATGCATTAACTTTTTCAAACTAAAGTACAAAAAAAAATAAATTGAAATTGAAAATAACTAAAATATATTACTTGATAAATATATAAACCAATTAAAATGATCATTAAATAATTAATTATTATTAAGTGAAATGTTGCCACTGTTTTACGCCAAAATCCGAATGAAATTTAAATAAATAAAATTTATTTTTTTTCTTTTCTAATTAAAATAAATTCACTTGGAATGAAAGAATAAAAACTAAATAAAATGCCATATAAATTATTCGATAAATAGCCAATGTATTTTGAATACTAACAAGTAGGAGCATACCACATGATACAAATACCCAATATTTGGTTAAAAAATTAATTATTCATCGTCCTAGCTTGATAAAATAGTATAGATTTTTAATAATAAACACTTTACTCAAGCGTCGACGATACGAATCTGTTGATGTACTTGCCCCATGATCTATAAACAAAACAAAACGAAAATAATAAATAATCCTTTTTTTTTTAAATAATCAAATCAATTCAAAGAAACCACTTAATCATCATCAAAGAGACATATAGGCATAAGGCTTTTCTTTCTTTTTTCTTTCTAAATCATTAACCATCTTACTTAGTTCTATAACTATAAAAAGTAAATTTATTTTCTTTCTTTATCCCTAGTCGAACATCTTGTAAGCAAGATCTTGGTCAAGATCTTCGGTACAGAAAAGTGAACAGATCTTGAAATTTTAGGTACAAGATAATAGTATTATCTTGTACCAAGATCTTGAATTAGATCTTGGGTACAGATTCATAAGGTCTTAGGTACAGATTTATAAGATCTTGAGTATAGATCTGTAAGATCTTCGAT